GATCTTTCTGACCCAGAATCGAATTGCTAATCGTGCGAAAGGGGGGGGGGAGAATTTTTCCTGATCCTTCTGACCCTCAATCACATGGTGGTAAGTCCAAGGGGGGGGGGAATTTTTCCTGACCCTTCTGATCCTAAATCGGATAGCTGTGGGTGCGATGGGGTAATTTTTTTGACCCTTCTGACCCTTAATCGCATTGCGGGAAGTCCAAGGTGGGGGGAATTTTTTTTGATCTTTCTGACCCAAAATCGAATTGCTAATCATGTGAGGGGGGGGGGAATTTTCCTGATTCTTCTGACCCTTAATCACATTGTGGTAAGTTCAAGGGAGGGAGGGGGGGAATTTTTCCTGACCTTTCTGACCCTAAATCGGATATCTGAGGGTGCGATGGGGTAATTTTTTTTGACCCTTCGGACCCTTAATCACCTTGTGGTAAGTCCAAGGTAGGGGGGGAATTTTTTTTCCGTCTCGGCCGGCGCAAAGTTGCATTTCCCTGACTCCCGGCGGGAGTCAGTTTTTCCGTCCCGGCGGATGCAAAGTTGCATTTCCCTGGAACTCTGACTTTGCGCCTACACCGAGACGGAAAATCGCGTTCTAACCACGGGAAGTAAAATAAAGGACCCTCAGCCGCGTGCTTACCAACCTCGCCTTCGGCTCGGCTGGTAATTGCACTGGCCGCTGAGGATCCTTTATTTTCCCTCCCTAGATTAGAAATATATTATTGATCTTTCTGAACCAAAATCGAATTGCTACTCGTGCGAGGGAGAGGGGAATTTTCCTGATCCTTTTGGCTTTCAATCACATTGCGTCAGTTCAAGGGGGGTGGGGGGTAATTTTTCCTGATCTCTCTGACCCTAAATCGGATATCTGGGGGTGCGAGGGAGTAATTTTTTTGACCCTTCTGACCCTTAATTGCATTGTGGAAAGTCGAAGCGTAGAACCTTCGCTATTCAATTTAGGGTCAGAAGGTTCAAAAAAAAATTCCCCTCACGCTTGAACTTCCTACAATGCGATTAAGCGTTAGAAGGGTCAAAAAAATTACCCCATCGTACCCTCAGCTATCCGATTTAGGGTCATCGCATCGTCAACTATCAGATTTAGGGTCATATGGGTCAGAAAAAAGCCTCCTTCCCCTCCGCTCGGACCCTTCGCTATTCAATTTAGGGTCAGAAGGGTCAAAAAAAATTCCCCCCACGCTTGGACTTTCCACAATGCGATTAAGGGTCAGAAGGGTCAAAAAAATTACCCCATCGCACCCTCAACTATGCGATTTAAGGTCATCGCACCCTCAACTATCAGATTTAGGGTCAGATGGGTCAGAAAAAAAGCCCCCTCCCCGCGGGGAACCTTCGCTATTCAATTTAGGGTCAGAAGAGTCAAAATATTCCCCCCACGCTTGGACTTTCCACAATGCGATTAAGGGTCAGAAGGGTAAAAAAAATTACTCCATCGCACCCTCAGATATCCGATTTAGGGTCAGAAAGGTCAGGAAAAATTACCCCCCCCCCCTTGAACTTACCACAATGTGATTGAGGGTCAGAAGAATCAGGAAAATCCCCCCCCCCTCGCACGATTAGCAATTCGATTTTGGTTCAGAAAAATCAAGAAGAATTCCCCCACCTTGGACTTCCCACAATGCGCTTAAGGGTCAGAAGGGTAAAAAAAAATCCCTCCTCCCTTCTCATCGCACCCTCAACTATCCGATTTAGGGTCAGATGGGTCAGAAAAAATTCCCCTCCACCCTTGGATACACCGCAATCCGATTTGGGGTCTGAAGGGTCAGAAAAAAAGCCCCCCCCCTCGGATTCTTTGTTATTCAATTTAGGGTCAGAAGGGTCCATAAAAATTCCTCCCACGTTTCCACTTTCCACAATGCGATTAAGGGTCAGAAGGGTCAAAAAAATTACCCCATCGCACCCTCAGCTATCCGATTTAGGGTCAGAAGGGTCAGGAAAAATTACCTTTCCCCACCTTGGACTTCCCACAATGCGATTAAGGGTCAGAAAAATAATGCCCCTCACCCCTCGCACCCTCATCAAAGAATCAAAAAGTCGACCTCCCCCCCTGCGTTCTTTGAGAATGACACATGAAATATCAATTGTTTGATTAATCATTGAAAAATTAATTAAAAAAGCGGCCGTTACTATCCCACTGTCGACTCATTCGGCAGGCGGCTGGCCTGCGACTGCTGCTGTGCTGTTGACTCAATATTGCCAGACTGGAGAGGCTACATTCTGGTATCCCCACCAAAAAATTCTGGTAGCTGCGGTAGAATTAAGGTATCAGAGGATGATGAAGTAGAGCCCTCTAAAAAGTGAACGAAATTTAACAATGTTGACACGATGAGTATAGAATCTGCTGTTTATTACTTAACTTGAATATATGTTTGCATATTTGGCATGTGTATTAGGAATTGAACAACATTCTTAGACTACCAACTAAATAAACGTAATATCGCCGTCAGTATCCTCACTAATTTGCCCGTCAACTAGATTTGTATTAATGTTAGTGAGAGGTGTACTGAAACAAGAGGTAGAAGCTTGAGACTCAATAGATAATTTTTCAGTGGTTGGTTTGTTCTTCTGGCCATACAAGGTGGAACTTTTCATCCTAAGCAACATTTCAGTTGATGGTTTGAATTGAGAACATCCTCCAGAAGCTAACACTCTCTAGCTGGATAAAACAAGACCATTAACCGTTCGGACAATTAGTTTATTTCTCGTCTTGGTCTTTATCAGATTAATTTTGGTGAAAATGCGTTCACTGTCAGCATTGGAGTGTGGTAGGGATAATGTATGTAGTACGAATTTGGCCAAATTGCGGAATAAATATCCACCTCCGTCATAATTATTCTGTAGAGTTAGCAGCGTCCCCCAAAAAGCATCAGTTTCCAATTTACTCAAGTGTTCTTTGAAGATGTATGAAGGCAGTTTACGCCATTCATCATCGATTACTTGATAATCAGAACTTTGGCAGATTTTTGATAGAGACATCAATGGGGATAGAGAGAGGACAGAATCTCTTGTCTGATGAGATAGGGCTGCGTCAGTTTTGAAGATCCGGATTCTGTCTAGGAGAGAATTTCCAAAGTCATAACGCTTTTTAATCTCCAGGCATGCCTGAATCAGAAAGTCTCTATACTTTTTCTAAATACATCTTTCGTCATTTCAGTGATCACGTGAACACCTAAATACATCTGAGAAATTGGAAGTATCTGTGAAGAGTCCTGGGGGTTTATCTTCGTCAAATCATTGGAAACAACATAACTTCTTCTTATGTAAGGGCACAGAAGTTCTTTTAACAGCTCAGTCATTTTATCATGGACATCTGTGATGACCATTTTAGATGACTGGAAATATTGATTCACTCGGGAAATTAGTTGCAGCACTCATTTTAAAAATAAAAAATATAATTTATTGAATGGGTCATGCAAATTATTATAAATAGTCTCCGCGATTACCAATTTCTCCTCAAATCTCTTCTCAGTGAACTACAACTGTAGTGCTGACCACTGCTCAAGCATTCTTTCCACTACTGTTGATAAAGATAACCACCGGGTTTGTGAGGGATGGAGTAGGGAATGAACAGGCGAATCCGTGAAAACTTGGAATTGAGTAAAAGCAGATAATCTTTTTGAGCTTGCATGAAAAAAATTGTACACGTTCCTAGCCAGATCTTCAATTGTTCGAGGGAGGTGTTTACATGCTGCACTGGCAGCCAGATGCAGTGAGTGGCATAAACATTTGAAGATAATAATCCATGGAAGATCTCGCTTGAGTCTGCTTGCTACCGAATTGTGCTCCCCCATCATTACGTTGCAGCCATCAGATCCAAAACCAATGATATTTTCCATTGGAATTCCTCGCGTTTTGAGGCTCTCCATGAGTAAATTATACAAATGTTCTGCAGTTGCACACACCACAGACTTATCTTTATTGAAAACTTGTGATAGCTCCCAAAATTTACTCACAATTTTCTTCTCTGACTCGTCATAGTAACGAACTATAATGCAGCTCGATTTTGTGTTCGATATATCAGTTGACTTATCGGTGAGAATACTAAATTTTGTTGACTTCAATTTTTCTCCTGGTTCAGTCTTCTCAACCTCATTTATCACATTCGTTATGACTGCAGTTGCTTTTGTCCTTTTCAAAGCAAGTTTCCCAGCAATTTGCGAGTCATGAAAAACACTCTTTAAAGTAAGAATCAATTTATCGACTAAACTGAGAGCAATGTTGTGTGCAGCAAAAAAACCTGTCAACTGGATCTCAGCTTTGGTCACCTCGGTGTCCAATTCTGTGGTTCAATTGCAGTCCACTGGTTTCATAAAATTCATTATTTTTGGAGTTTTGGATGCTATAGGATTCTCCTTGGCTGCATGCTTCGAAGAAGCCTTATATGCGTCAATAAGACCGAGATATCAGCAGTGCACAGTTTACACTTTGCTTTGTGCACATCGTTTGGATCTTTTGCGAGGCAATACTTAAATCGATTATCCTGTAATCAGTCACTTCGGAATTTCTGAATTGTTTTAATTCTGTTTGCTGGAGGATTCTTCGATGGTGGAGTGTCAGCCATTTCATCTTCCTCTGAGTTTGTCATGCTGGAGAAAAAATGTTCAAGAATAACCTGTAATTTCGGAATGATGCAATAATTCATGGTAAATGCCTACTTAGGGATTGCTGAGGATAATTATTTTGCGAGAGATGAGGGATGAATGATGAAAATTTATTCGAGTTTGGCGGTAATGCGAGTCACTTAATTTCCAAATCGGACGCCGTAGACGAGGGAATAGTTCCGTATGTATAACGATGATCGAATGTTCCAACCTAAATTTGTGCTCGGTGATTGGTCTTGCATTTTAGAAGATTGCCTCTCGTTGGTTAAAATTGTAAATTGTAGGAAATCACTTTATCTAAGCATGATTCCGCTTATAACCTACTTTACTGACGATTCAAAAATAGTCCTCTAGTTTCATGTCTATGCACTGAACTCGATAGTCTGCGGTAGTGGAAACATTCAAACAGAATAAGCGACGAATAACTTAAACTGTGCATCATTATGATCAACGTAAACAAAGCATCTTGGAATAGATAACCAAAATTTCCATTATAAGCCTATGTTGGACGAGTGTGGCTACATTGTCACAACGGATGATGGGCATTTCGTTTTTGTTCATCCCATAAGTAAGTTTTTACACGTATATTATAATAGTAAAAAATCGAGTTTCCTATAACCCCCTTCACTTAATCAATAGCTGGTGAGATTAGTTTGATGCACATAAACAAAGTCAACTTTGATAGCGATGAATCTGAAGACGATGATCCTGAAAATCATTCGAATGCTGAAGTTACTAACCCAGATGAAACATCGAATGAAGAGGATGATATAGACGAGATGGACTTTTCGGATGATGATGAAAATGGACCTTGGCAACCAATTAGAGAACTCCACGATTCAGGTTTCCAAGATCAATTAGAATGTGTGTGGTAATTCGAATAACTCTCAAGCGAGGGATATAAAAATTAGGTAATATTGATATCTTGATTTTAATTTTCAGTTGTAGACGAAAGATTCCCCGATGAACCAGATCCTGACTGACAAAAGTATACACAAAAACTGTAAAAAAAACAGTAAAACAAGAATTGTCTAATAAAAAGAGCATGACTCGAAAATTATGGTATAATTCTGCTACCACCCGGCCTCATTATGCTACATGGTATATTATTATGGTAGGTCTGACAACACTGTGCTGCCTTGACCGAACCACGCCGGTAATTCGGCGCTGCCGCCATCTCGCGGAATCCCCCCCACACAACGTTCTAGTGACATTAAGTACACTAGCAGTAATTTCTTCAAATTCATTAAAAAACTCAATTAATGAGTGATAACTGACACTAATCTTCTGAGAATTAACTTCCCAATCATTATTCTACTTTATTTCTATCATTTTCATGCTTTTTAGGCTCAAAAATGCACATCTACACACATCTACGGAACATCTACTCTATACCGTAGATGTAACGTGTTCCATAAATCTCCAGGCTATTTCAATTCAAAGATTTTTAAAAACTACAACAAATCGCCTAAAAACTCTGTGTGATTCGGAATCGTATGTTTTTTTCTCATTTAATTGTCGTTCAAGTTTTTATAAATGAAAATGTTGAAAATTCATTATTTAACACAGGGTCTTATGTGAAAAACGCAAAATTTGATACAGCTCTGGTTAAAACAAAGATTAAAATCTAATTTTTTTTCCTAAAAACGAGAAAAAAAGAATAAAGAATATTGGCACCTGTTAGATAACGATGTATCCTTTAGTTTTTTTTATTATTAACAATTTCTAACCAGAATCACGGGAGACTGTGAACAGGAGTAGACGTGGCAACGACGGTTCGGTCAGCTGTCACTTGGCGGGACCTCTCTCACCTCTCTCACCCGTCACATTGTGCTACAGTGTTGCCACTAATTTTTCCAAGCTAGTCAATTGAAAATTTATTTATTCATGCTTTTATTGAAAACAATTAATAATGAAATAATTCTTATGATTATGTCCTTTATAAATTATTTTAATAATTTAAACATCAATAAAATTATTTTTAGAATCTTTTTTTTTCAAAAGCACTCAACGAGTCCAGCCGTAGGGGTAGAGCTACTTTAAATGAGGTAGATTCTTTCGGATGTTGACTACCAATAGTAGAATTTGTAGAGCAAACAAAGACAAACAGATGATAGTAACGCGGTCGCGGTTACATGGAAGCTGTCATTTTTCCTGCAACGAAAATAGTCAGCGTTAGAGAAAATGTTTCAATGTCGAGAGCCACAGGTCATGGACTTACTTGCAAACACACCAGCCATCTTTATTGCAAACGGATCCAATACTGTAATCACCATTATTGAATTGCTCGATGCAAACTGCTCTACAGTTACGGTCACAATTATCTTCCCATTTGAGACCCTGATCGTTGGGTGTCCATAGCTTAATCCAAAATGTTCTGAAATTCGCTGTTCAATTTGAAAAATATTATCATTATTCTTTGGTAGATATGTGTTATTCGATCATATTGAAGACATAATTAAGACAATAATCGGCCTTGCGGTCCAGGGTAAATACTCTACGTCTCTGGATATTTATTCTATGTCGTCTGGGTTTTTTCCCGGGGATTTTGTGGATAGGCGAGGTTGATTTACATGAATCTCATGGGAACAGGCCAATAGATTTCGCTCACATATTTGGATTCACATACACATGGACTCTTCACTCTTGTCTTTACCATCATGACGAGTTGATGTATGTCATTTTCCATCGTCATTCCGAAAGGGTTTTTTGGATTTCACAAGAGTCATGTGTTGTTGTTTTGTTTTTTGTTCATTTTTTCATTCTTTTCATCAACAATGGATTTGCTGTCTTTAATTTTTTCCTCTGATTTGTTTGTCTAAATTGCCTTCTAACAGTTTTTTCCTGTTGGTTTAGGATATAAAACTTGGAATTTTCTCTGTGTGACTTCTATCATGAATTACTTTAAAACGCACTTGATTTTTAAGAATGATATGTTGTTTTATAATGCTTTTCATGCTGATAACAGGTTTCTATATTTGTCCTTTTTTGTAAATATCTTTGTTGGGTCATTGCGGTTAATAAACATGTGCTGAGGAAGACCTGCATATGGGTCGAATCGTCGGCAAGTTTATAGTTTAAATTCATTGAATTGATTTACCCTGGACCGCAAGGCCGATTATTATCTTAATTATCGTTATTATTTAATCTATTATCGGATGGGTTTTTGTCTGAATCATCGTCCGAGATTATACATAGATCGTTCGAAAATATGAGGAAGTGCCCAGGGCTCGCACCTGTTAACCAATTTAATCTCCGAAAAACGAGTAATTTTTCAATTTTATTAGTTAAAAAATTCGAAGATTCTCATGCCGAAAACAAATGTTTGGGAGGCAAACAACATGATGAAAATTTAAGAAAATAATGGGAAGATCGTTCACCTGATACGTGAACGTCAAGAGCACAACTTATGACCAATAACACAAACACCACGTTCACAATCTGCATGTTTTATCGATAGCTTCAAGAGCATTAGCGGATAATCTGAATACTAACTGCAAATTGATCACATGAGGATGTCTTATAGATCCATTCGTTGTGTTAGTGAGCGATAAACCAATGCTGACAGTTCCGGGTGACCTCAGGGTCAGGGTTTTTTGTTGTGCCATCATAAATTCCGAAGAGACCATGAAGAGCCACGTGAAGTATCAATTTAAACACACTTTAGTTTAACGAATTGTTGTCTGGGAAAATTGGTCCAGTTTTCGGAATTTATTAAATTTTGGTAGAAACTTCACCAAAAGCTTTTTCACGTCGGAAATATATTTTCCATATGTACCTACTATTTGATTTTCGCAACTCAGGAAAATTAGATTTTCCATGGAAGCTGCTGCTGAATTTTTTCATATTGACACGATTATGACTACTGTCATTGTAAATTAGTCATCTTTCAATGGTGATCATTCGTTACTACCTATACTTGCACCTGGAATGCCATTCATAGGAGAATTAAATTTCATGTAATGCAATAAATATTCTATACTCGAATCCTTAATGTGTTGTGTACGTAAGACTGCTCGAGTCGAAAAATTTGACGGGTTTTTGGTTGGGTCAGATTCGTCCAAGTATGATCGGTTGAAGATCTGAAAATTGCAAACGGCGGCCAAAAAATGGGTATCCTTCTAGGTGAAGGTTTTTCAAGTCGACAAACGAAAAGTCACAGATGTAACTTGTACTCGATCGCATTCACGCATGAGTGATACACGCATTGTAATTTACAATAGTGATATGCTCACGCGCAGATTGCACATAAACACATGCATAAATATATAAAAGACTTCGTCCACGACTAAGGAGTTGATTACTTGCTGGCGTAGGAAGTGAGACCTGCAAAGTATAACGCATGTGAAGTTTTACACTTTCAGCACAAGAAATTTACAAAACGTGGGATTATTTTTTCAGTAAATGATTCACTAGTATATGAGTATATGTGTAATATTCACTATTGAAATGTGGCCGTGAACAAATGAATGATTCTTGACACCAGGTAAGTGAAATCACATAATTACCCGTTCAATAATATATACTGTTGAAATGAATCAATCATAGTTTCTACTCCGTTTGGAAGGAGAGTTACTGATATCGCTGCATGCATACACGTATCCGAAGGTAGTAAGCAATATAAGCTCAATGAGACCGTTTGCTTATAGAGATTGGCTCACGGAGCCATATTTCACTATGCCATGGGTCAGAGTATGAATCATACTCTCTAAAGCCAACAAAAATGATATCCCATAATACAGCGAAGACGTGACAGTTCAACATACTAGTGGAATAGAAGAACAGGTTCGCCAATATTTCGATACACAATTGACGCGATTAACCATATATGTATGTTAACTATACATCTTTTGAAACTCCATTAGTACATGCATGAGAATATTCGACACATGAATTTTCAAATATATCCAAATCGATATCGCGCTGAGATATTGCTCAATATTCCGTTTCTGAGTAGTCTCTCGTTCATCACATCGAATTCGTTGGAATTAAGTTTCTACACAAGAGCTCCAATTTGAGTAGAACACGACACTCGCCCGAATTTATAGGCAACTTCGGCATTTGTACTTTTATTACATGAGTTTATTTGTATTCGGCGTCGTTATGTACAATCTATCAACGAGAGAAACAATTGGATAAACTAGATATACGTTACAATATAATCGTATGCCAAAGTTGATCAATGTTATACACCAAGCGTAATGTCTGTACAACATCCAATGCATAATCCTTGTGTGTTCATTCTAATTTCCTTCGTATACAACCATCAATTTCTAATTTAATAATTCCAGGCGCAATCAAAGCATACGACTTTCTGATTTTTCATGTTTGATGAACACTCCGTTCATTCATAGTAACATGAAGACGTTTTGCGCGATTTCTAATGAAAAATAAATAGGTTTTCCTGCGTGGTTATTACAGAAAATTCCATAGACAATATTTTATAAATAGAAATGAATAGATTTCGATTTATCTATGCACAGTATTACCTTGACATCACCCAAAAAAAATAAGTACTGATTCAAGTCGACGTCGGCTTGATTCTGACCGATTTTCGGTTTGATTCAGACCGACTGACTCGGACTACGCCAATCCGGATTCCGGGTCTGATATACGTCGAAAATCGGTTTATTTCAAGCAGAAACGGGTTATGCCGACATCGGTTTGATTCAGACCGACTGACTCGGACTACGCCAATCCGGATTCCGGGTCTGATATACGTCGAAAATCGGTTTATTTCAAGCAGAAACGGGTTATGCCGACATCGGTTTGATTCAGACCGACTGACTCGGACTACGCCAATCCGGATTCCGGGTCTGATATACGTCGAAAATCGGTTTATTTCAAGCAGAAACGGGTTATGCCGACATCGGTTTGATTCAGACCGACTGACTCGGACTACGCCAATCCGGATTCCGGGTCTGATATACGTCGAAAATCGGTTTATTTCAAGCAGAAACGGGTTATGCCGACATCGGTTTGAATCAAACCGAAAAATCGGTCTGAATCAAACCCAAGAATCGACTTGAGTGATTCATGCCGAAATTCTGACTGTTCCAGGTAATAGATAGCGACTTGATTCTAATCGATTTTTCGGTTTGATTCAGGTCAATTTTTCGGTCTGATTCAAGTCGATTTTTCGGTCTGCTTCAGACCTATTTTTCGGTTTGATTCAGACCGATTTTTCGGTTTGATTCAGACCGAATTTTCGGTGTGATTCACACAGAAAAAAGTGGATTAGCTTCGGAAAAAAGTTTTAGAAAAAAATCGTGTAAAATTAATGATCAAAATTGAGATTCATTTTAAACCAAAATATATTTAATTTCAGAAGAAAATATTTTCTAAAATCTAGAAAATTGTTCTAATTTTTGAGAGGGAATTTCACAAAAATTTTAAAAAGGGGTGTAGTGATATCCGGGGGGGTGCTTGTAAAGAGGGCGGTTCTGCAGGGGTGACAAGTTTGTGAAAAGTTTATGAAAGGATGGGTTATCGTTGGGATATTTGAAAAATATCTTCGAAACTAAGGGGGGGGATGTGTATTGACAATTTACAACCAAAAAAATTGAATCGGTGGGTTTTTCTAAAATATCTAAGAAACTAAGGAAGATTGCTCATTTTTACTGAAAAAGTGGGGGTTATCTTTTTTTTCAATTTATTCAAATTTCCAAAAATTTTAAAAATTTCAAAAATTTCAAAAGTTTCAAAAATTTCAAAAGTTCCAAAAATTTCAAAACTTCAAAAATTTTGAAAATTTTGAAAATTTTCACCTTCGACAAATTGAAACAAAATTGAGAACCACCCCCCCTTTTTCCGTAAAAATTCGTTATCTCCCTTAATTTCGGAGGTATTTTTGAAAAACCCGTCAACTCAATTTTTTTGGTTATCAATTTTCAATACACTTCCCCTCCCCACCCCAAAATTTTCGTAAAAATTTGCTTATCTTCCTTAGTTTCAGAGATATTTTGAAAAATCCGCCAACTCAAACTTTTTGGTTATAAATTTTCAATGCTCCCCCTCCCCAAAATTTTCGTAAAAATTCGCTATCTCCCTTAGTTTTGGAGATCTTTTGAAAAACCCGCCAACTCAATTTTTTTGGTTGCCAATTTTCCATGCACCCCCGCCCTCCCTCTCCAAAATTTTTGTAAAAATTCGCTATTCACCTTGGTTTTGGAAATATTTTTGAAAAAATCATATACTCAATTATTTTGGTTGTGAATTCTCAATTCACAACCTTCCCTCCTCTCCCTCTTTGCAAAATCTGAATGTGTACTGAATTCTTGATGTACACCCCCCTCCCCCCCTGTATGAGACTCCCCAAGGGGACCTCATCGACAATGTACATCGAGAATTTAGGAGCAAATCGATTTGCATCAAACCGAAGAATCGGCTTGAATCAAACCGAAAATTCGGTCTGAATCAAACCGAAAATTCGGTCTCAATGAAACCGACAAATCGGTTTGAATCAAACCGAAAAATCGGTCTGAATCACACCGAAAAATCAGTATGAATCAAACCGAAGTCGGTCTGATCCAAGTCGATTTTTCGACTTGATTCAGACAGATATTCTGGTTTGCATCTGTCCGAGTCCGACTTGATTCATGCCGTCAATTCGACATGAAACAAGTCAATTTTCGTCATTCAGGCCCGTTAGGTAGCGCCGACTATAGCTGTCTTGAGGGAAGCTAAATGGCGTTTAACAGACCAGGTCTGTTAAACGAAGCACAGGTATAGTTAACTCGAGTTAGCAGCCCTAGGACAATAAAAACATACAGTTTCTAAATGGGCAACCCACAAAACCTTCGTAGGAATACAACATGAAGTGTGCGGTTATCGCTGTCACTTGCTTGAAAACTCGGCGGATCGTTCACCACTAATACGATGCGCCACCGTCATTGCCGATGACATCAGGAGTTGTTATTCCGTTGCTAGGGAGTCAGTCGTAACTTGAGGGTTATATTGTCAAAATATTAGTTTAATAAAGAGATTATATTCACTTTCTCGTTATATATCTATTTTGAATAGATTATATATATATTTCTATTAAAATGTGATGAAAAATTTGAGTATGTTGTGAGAAGAAGAGGAACGATGAAAAAGAAAAGTTGTAAACTGTAGATGTTCACACGTTGATTTTCTCATGAGAATAAATTTAGAAAAATGATTAATCCTTCTTTTTATTCTTTCAATTTGTTGCAATTTCCATTTCAGGAGGAGGAAGATTTCCATTCTCATCTAGATGTTTTTTGAATGTTTTTGACAGACTCCGTGAATTACAACTTTTGCATTCGTTCTTTCGAATCTCAATTTAGGATTTTGCATCTCTTTTTCTTCAATATTTTCTCTTCACTTGTCATTTCGTTTTTCTACAGTGGGGGGGGCTTCGCCCCCCCCACCCCCCCACCGGGGCCTGCGGCCCCTGGACCCCGCTTCTGCGCCCCCTCCCCTTCCCCTCCCCCTCACCTTCAACGGGCCTTCATGA